CCGCCACTGCTGCCGCTGCTGCTGCTGCTGTTGCAGTGCCTGGCTGTGCTGCTGCTGCTGCTGCTGCTGCGGTAGGCTGAGCTCAGCCTCTCCCCGAAAAAGAGAGACCAGCACCGCAGCTTCTTCCATGTGGCAGCTCTCAGCAGCAGCAGCAGCAGCAGCAGCAGACGGATAAACCGGCAGGCACGGGAGAGGCAGCAGGAACAGCCGAAGGCCCTCAAACAGGCGCAGCAGCTCCATCTTTTCTCCCCAAGGGAACCAAATCTCCGGGCACGCTGCTGCTGCTTCTGCTGCTTCTGCTGCTTCTGCTGCTGCTGCTGCTGCAGGTGCAGCAGCAGCTCTGCGTAGACCCCGCAGCTCCGCCTCATCTTCAATTTGTTTGACCCAGCATTTGGGAGCAGCAACAAGTACCCAAGGGGGGCCCCCAACCCCATCAGTCCCCACCTGGGGGCCCCCCTCCAGCTGCTCAGATGAAGCCAGGGGGGCCCCCAGGGGGCCCCCAGGGGCCCCCTGGGGGGCCCCCTTCTCCCCAGGGGCCCCACGCATGCAGGGGGCCCCAGGGACCCCAGGACTCTGGGGGCCCCCAGGGGCCCCAGGGGCCCCAGGGTTCTCAGGGACCCCAGAGCTGTGGGGGCCCCCAGGGGAGCCAGAGGCCCCTGAGATGTGGGGGCCCGCGGGGGCCCTTGGGGCCCCTGGGGCCCCTGGGGTGAGGGGGCCCCCAGGGACCCCTGGCCTCTGAAAGCCAACGGGGCCCCCAGGGCTTCTAAGGGCCCCAGGGGCCCCCGAGCCAAGGGAGCCCTCGTGGCCACTGGGGGGCCTCTGGGGGCCCCCCGGGAGGCCTCCCCGGGGGCCCCATGGGGTGCCCCCCGGGGGGCCCCGAGGACTCTGGGTACCCTGTTGGGGGGCCCCCTCTAGCAGCAGAAGTGCTGCATTTGCTGCTGCTGCAAAGACTGGCAAGAAATCTCCCCAAGTGCCCAGGGCCACAAACAGCAGACACGGAGAGTGAGGCCGTGGGGCCAGCTCTGACATCACATGCTGCTGCTGCTGCTGCTGCTGTTGCTGTTGCTGCTGTTGAGATGGCTAAGGGCTGATGGTGCTGGTTGTGCGGCCGCAGCAGGTTCTGCTGCTTTGGCGGCTTCGCTAGTGCTGCCGCTGCTGCTGCTGCCGCCGCTCCTGTGCAGGTTTTCTGCGCGTGTTGCTGCTGCAGTTGCGCTGCTGCTGCTGGCGGCTGTTTAATTGCTGCTGGCAAATAAGCTGCGAACTTTTGAGGAGTGGCAGAAGGTGGCATGCGGGCCAGGGGCTCCGTACGAGTTTGGGTCTGGCATTCGGCGGCGGTAGGGTTTAGGGTTTAGGGTTTAGGGTTTAGGGTTATTTCTGAGTGGAAATGGGTTTAGATGGAAGTTTCTATAGTGGGAATGAAGTTTTTGGGCCGGGAGAGTAGCAAGAGCTAGCTGCTGCTGCTGCTGCAGTGGGTTCGGCTGCGGGGCCCTGGTGTGTCTGCTGGTGCTCCAGGCGTGCGGTGCTGCTGCAGCGCGGGCTGTTGGCGGTTTGCTGCTGCTGCTGCGCGTGCGTTCGTCGCTGTTTAGGGTTTCTGTTTCGATTTGAAGAGAAGTTTAGACAGCATTATTTGCGTTATCTTTTATTTCCGCGTGTCTCCGCTCGTCGCCGCCAGCAACTGCTGCTGCTGCTGGTGCTGCTGCTGCTGCTGCGTGGCTCGCCGTGTCTGAGGCCCCGCTGCTGCTGCTGGCTACAGGCCCGGGGGCTGTCTGGAGAGCTGGGTTGATTCTGTGCGGCGGCGCGGTGTGTCTGTACATCTGGGGGTGCGT